GTAACTCCAAAGTTAACTCATAGTCACTCCTTCAAATTTGGTATGGAACCTAAAAAGTTTGAGTCGTCCGCCTGTTTTATACAAACAAGGGCACTCGAACCCCTATTCCTACTGGATAACCTATTGAGTAAATAGCCAACAAACATTGGTAAATCAAGGGGTCTAGCCGGCCTACGCCGCCTGATACCTTTACTACTCAATCAAGATTGTGACGAAGACTAAGTAACTCCTATGTTAACTTAATAGTCACTCAAACTTAGTACTGAGCCTAAAAGGTACGAGTCGTCCACTTGTTTTTAATAAACAAAGGCTCTCAACCAATACTCTTGCTAGGTTAACAAATAACAAATTAGAGGCCAACATTGGCAATAAAGGGAAACAACCGGTACCCGCCGCTTGTTTTCCTACTTAAATTCCTTGGCTACTTGGTAATTCTATTTACTTGGTCAAATTGAATAAAGAGTTCGAATACCGATTGATTAAATGGCCGACTGATCATCTATCCTGGAAACAGACAACCAGTCGTCCAGGGGCATAGGCGGCATACTTACTATTTGTACCTGTCTTAACGTTCGGCCATACACAACAGTCTGTCTAGTGAGCAAATTTCAAATACTTAGACAAATTTGAATAAAAACAAAAAAATTTGATTAAAATGAGCCGGCCATAAAAGACCAGCAGAATATTCAAAACCCCGGCCCCCTGGCCGGGTAATTACAAAGCAAACGGCACGCAGGCCGTGAAAAGAAAAAATATACTTAAAGCTTAAGAAGGGGGCAGTTCAGTATCAGCAGCAGCCGCCTGGTCAGCACTCTTCTTGCTGGACTCGGCCTTCGCTGCATCATCTTTTGATGCCTTTCCCCCAAGTGGCACAAGCGCCACAACCGGCTCTTCCTCCTCCAACGCAACGTCCATCGCCTCTTCTTCAGCAGCCGCCAGGATCTGTTGATTATATATTTCCGAACACTGGCGGTACGTTCTTTCCCATGAGGCAAAGTCGGCACTGGGGAACAGTCGTTCCCAGGTCATGCGTTGGATTTGGGCGGAGTCTTCCACCATCTCCCGGACGAGCTCTTGTTTTTCTTGCTCGGCCTTGTCCGAGAGCTCTTGGGTAAGACTCTTCTCCTGGTTCACCAGGCGTTCTTTTACGTTAGCCAAAGATTTCTCCATGGCTTCGTAAGAGTGCATTTTCTGGCGAAGGGGTTTCAGCTCGGCTTTAAATTTGGTGACGGTCCCCTCCAGCTCGTCAACCTTCTTTTGGGCCGCCTCTAGCTGAGCCCGAACAGCGGCGGTCGCCTGCGCCTGATAATAAAGAAGATCAATGGTCAGTACTTCATTTTGGGCAATTTGAAACATTGCTTTATCACAGCTGGAGGCGGCCATAGCCTTTGCGGCCTTTACCTCTTTGTTTTTCCGATCAATCGGCTTGCGAAGGCTGTTGACTCGGAGCAGGGCCTAAGTACAAAGAAAAACAGGCGTCAGTTTCCAATCAAAAGGGTTAACAGGCGTCCTGGAACTTCAAAAGGGTATACCTCAGCTAGGATCCCCGAAATTCCATCGAGGTCAAGGGTGCCGGCACCCTTGACCGCCTCCCTGTCAGAGGGAGGAACTACTTTAACCATTGACTTGGCTACCTCAACCAAGTCAAGTCCCTGGGGGCCGGCTGCATTAAGCAAAAGGAAAAACAAGTTAGACCTAATCAAGAAGGAAGCAAGAGTGAGTTTTTACAAGCAAGTGTCCATACATCTAGGCGGCCCCGCCTGGGTTTTTGAGGAAGTGGCCGGCTGCTTCTCAGCCGCCACTGTTTTCCTGGAAGACCCAGGAGAGCTTGCAACAGTCGTTCTCCGGGCCTTGGGGTCCGGCTGTTGCGAGGAAGAAGCCCTTGGAGTGCCAGACTGAAAACAAAAAGAGTTAGTATATGCATAATACAACTTAAAGGGGAAGAGTTTTCAAAGCTGACCAAGGGTGCCTCCTTGCTGGGGGAGTCGGCGTACGACTGCTTCATTAGCGAAACCCGCAGCATGGCCGCCGCAGTCTTAGATGCTGTTATTTTACTCATGGCGTCGGCTGAAAGAAATAAACAGCAAAGTTAGTAAAAATCCCAAGTAAACAAGGCGTGAAAAAACAGAGTATTCGTCAGGCCGGCTACCTCTAGAGCACCGACTGCCGAGGCCACAGGCGGCCAAGAAGTACTCATCATAGAGCCACTTGAAGCTCGGGACGCAGTGTAGGGGTACTTGCTCTCGTACCCCTGAAGTAGAGTTCACCCTAGTCTCTACTTTGAAGAGTCCTTTGTCTAGGATCTCTCTTTTAGCCTTTGGGGGAACAGGCGGCATGCTGCGGCCGCCTGCAAGAAGAGGCGGATCCCTGTTCCACTTGTTAAAACGTTTGTTCAGCTCCGTGTCTGAACTCTCGATAATAAGGAAGGTGTTCCGCCAATCCTTCCATTTGTTTGCCTTACCTCTCGTCATGAGGTAACCCCTGTGGCTTGTTAGTTGATACCAGCCGGTACCTCCCGACTTAGGGGTCCGGCTGAGATAGTTCATGTGGGCGAAAGCCTCAAAACTTGGCTCCACCCCGTTCAGTTCGCACCCGGCCACATAGCCGAGTACGTTTACCCAAGAGTTGGGGGCTAACTGCCATAACCCCAGATCATACCCATCTAAAATCCGCTGAACAGCCGGATGTAATGGGAAGCGCAGACCAGCTTTGATGGCCGCCACATAGCAGCCAAAACAGCCGTCACCATAGCTGGTACCAGCCGGCCAGACGACAGTATCTTCTGGATCCGGCACAAACAGTAAATACTCCGGGCCCATTTTGTGGTTAGCAATAAAGCTCGCCACGTTGTCTCGCATGGTTGCGATCCGGCCCCGGGGCACCCTGCAGTAGTAGGGGGTGTTTTCCTCTCTGTAAGAGGCGGACGGCTCTGCCCAATTATCCCCCTTCTCCACTGCATGGGAACTTCTCGCCTCTTGTAGGCGGTTATGTTTTTCTTCTGAGTCAGAAGAACTATGGTCAGAAGAACTATGGTCAGAAGAGCTGGAATCGGACTCGTCCCCTGACGAGTCCGAAGAGGACGACGCCTCCCCTCTCCTAGAGGGGCCCGCCTCCTCTCCCTTAGAAGGAGCAGAAGGTAAATTAGACATGTCCACGGTTAGATGAGAAGGGAACACCTTGGTCCCTCTCTCAGAACTGTCAGCTTGACAGTCGCCTCGTTCCACATCTGGCGCCTGGTCAGATGTTTCGCTAAGGAGTACCCTTTGGGAGGAGCCGTCTGAGTTTGATATTCTAGCAGTCTTTTTTGTTCTGGCCATCACGTTCTGCATAGACACAGATTCAGTCGGACTTTGTATAAAGGGCAAAGATGGGTCCAGAAAAGGGCAGGCGGCACTCCTAGTCCTAGATTCAGCCGTCCCCGGTGACCGGCTGATCACTAACTTAGGGCGTGTCGTGTGCTTCCATGGTGCCATTTCAAAAAATAAAAAGAAAATTAAGAGTAAGAGAACTGAGTTACCTTAACGGATGACAGTTGATGAAGTCCTGAAAGTTCGGGTCAGTCGGCTTGTCAGAACAGGCGGTAGGCAGAAAAAGTCCGAAAATGTCAGATCAAGTTCAGGGGTCCGAATGTTCTCGCACAAATTCTCAAATGTGAAAATGACCGAAGTCAGCACTTCCTTTTATAGGCAAAATGAGAAGACGAAGGGTCGCTTCCGAATTCAAATTTGGGCGGGAGAATCTCCCGGCCGTCTGCAAGGTGACACCTGTAACGGGCCGTCGCCTGTCACCGTGCGACACCTGTCACAGGCGACACGTGACCAGTCGCGTGCCACCTGTGAGGGGCAAATGATTAGGGGATTTTTATCCACCAAGCGCCGTTTGACAAGTGGACCAACCAGGTTCCGCCACGCGTCCTCCACGGACCACTTAAGACACGCCACGTGTCCACCCATGCCAAATGGGACAACCGGCCATCAAGGCCCATTTCAGTCTAGAAGCCCGATCGGCCCTAGGTTTACCTTAAACCTAGAGAGTTGCACGCTTCCCAAGGCTATAAATACTCGATTAATCCTCATTAATCAAGGGACCGAATAATTAACAGAACAGAGGAGAAACATTACGGAACACACTAATAACCGGCTGATCTCGCTAGCAAAGCAGATTACCTACATTAAATACTCTCACCTAGAGAGACCTTATTACTTTAATTTCTGTATTAATTACTCCTTAATCAGGTACTAACTTGACCGTTGGAGGCGGAGCTCTCAGGAGTCTCCGTTATTTTGCAGGTACAGGCGTCCGGTTCCAGTCTCGGAATTGTAGCTCTCCCGCAGGACATCAGAAAACCCCAAAACAGTAATTAAACGTCATGAAAAGGCGGCTCATCTTGCTCAAAAGCCATCCGAACTCGAATTAGTATAAAAAATCATTGACAATTGTCATGAAAAGTACATAAGCATTTACGTTACCTTGGTTTAGACAATTTCCAAAAGGTTTTTTCGTGGCAACTAGTATTGAAAATGATCTTACAAAAGAAAAGACTAACTTACTTAAACTACTAATTTTTTTTAATCTCTCCTACTAACCATTAAATATATTCCAATAAAAAAAATATCCCAAGTAACTATACTTATATAAATTCACCTATGATCCCTATCTTATAATTTTCCTAAAACTTTGTACACGTTCTAGCATGTTGATTATTACGAAACAGAGGAAGTAAATAAGTAAATCACCAATTTTTATATGTGGCTGATTACATCGTTCATTGTTACAAGTACTTTTCGGTCAATGTTACAGGGGTTAATTCGTCAGTATTATAAGAGTTACTTGTTCAGTATCATAAGAGTTACTCGGTCAATCCATATGAGTTACTTTATTATTTTACAAACGCTCACATATTGGCCACGCACTATAAATTAATATCCCCACATACAACGGCTATAAACTACGGAGTAGAAGAGCAATAAAAAAATATAAAGATATCCTCCATATTGCCGAAGTTACAAGAAGAGGAATGATGACCACAAGTCCACAAGTACAAGAAGCAAGCAACTCCCCACCAAAAAAACTAAAGAAAAACAATCTTTAGAAGGCACTTGTCATCAATGCAAGGGATGGCAGCTACAACTACGATTGCCTATTCCTCTTTCTCTTCAACCATCTCTCGCTTCTTTATCAGAAATCAAACCACCAAGAACACTATCACTAGTAATAGCAATACCAGTTGTAGCAACAATATCATTCCCTTCAAAACTCGGGTTAATCGAACACCAAAGATAATAAGTGAATCCCAATCATCATTCTTCTCAACTAAGCAAGATTCAACCGCCTGTAAATCCGCAATTGCCTCAACATTGGATTCACTCTTTGTGGTATGCACTTCAATGGCTTTGTCGCTCTCACTGATTGTCGCCGATGTTGACCCGGCATTGGCGTTTGTGGTCAGCACGCCACGGAAATTGCAAACCGATGAGCTCGCTACTGTTCGTCTTTTCCAAGAGAATACACCTTCTGTTGTTTATATCACCAATCTGGCTACTAAGTATGCTTTAATTTTGCTATTATTTAATTTTTGTTTAAAGAAAATATTTACTGCTTTAATTGGAAATTCATTGCAACAATTACATTTTAAGCAAGTTTCTAGTATTGATAGTTTTGTTGCAAGGAAATCTAAATACTTGTTTCAACTATTGCTAATAAGCTCGCATAGATTTTGGGTATTTAGAAAATAGAACAAAGGAAGTAGATTATATATGTGTCAAACTTTACTTGAACTTGGAAGAACATAGTATAAACTTTAGAAAATAATCTCAAGTGCATTTATTTTGTTATTGGACTCTTCATTTGGCATATAATGTATCTGTGTCGGACGCTTAATACTTGGGCACTTCATAAAATATATAGTTTAGTTGACTCTTATTAGGTCTGTTTGTCCACTGTTAGTTTTATTCGGGACTTTCTTTGGTTGGGGGGTTGTGTTGAAGAAGGATCATTGTTTCGTGCAATTTTGTCTGCTGGTCGAGGTCTTGAGGAAACTACAAGGGTTAGGATTCGGCAAAGTAGTGTCTAAGATAATAGTGTATACTAAATCGAGATAGTGGCTATGGATAGGGGTGAACACCGGTCCGGATCCGGACCGTAACCGTGTTGAACCTGAACCGGATTGGACCGGTTTACGCGGACCGGCAATGGACTTGAATCTACCGGTCCGATACAGGTCTAGGTATTATATGTACACCCCTAGCTAGGAGTGAACACCGGTCCAAATCCGGACCAGACTTGAACCGGTTTACACGGATCGGTAATGGACTTGAATCTTCCGGTCCGCTTCAGATCCGGGTATTTTATGTACACCCCTAGCGGACATTAATGGGTTACAGGAGTTTGTTTTGCTGAAGTTGTGCTAAGGGTTGAAAGACTTGAAACCATTGTCAACTATATTAAGTCTATTTTTTGATGTAGGTATCTCAAATCTTTTACGTAGTATTTATTTATTTATTTATTTTATTTTTATTTTTAATAGTTTTCTATAGGCTTGTACAAAACTATTCGAAAATCCAATAATGCGATCCGCAACCGATCCGAATTTTTGGATATCCGATCCGAGTTTTCATTTTGAATTAGATATCCAATCTGAAAAGGTGGATATCGGATGCGGATTTAGATATTGATTTTCAAAATTCGGATATCCAATATCGGGAATATAAAGGCTGAAATATATATATAATTTTAAATTATTCATATAAAACAACTGACCCTGTATTATTAACTTATTATGATATTCTTAATATATTTGATGATAATTTTTATTGCAAAAAGATTACTATTTTGTTAAAATATGTTGTATAAGTTAACGATAAAAAAGTGGTAAAATTAGTGAAATTTAGAAAGTAATCATAATTAATTTTACTTAATATTGGATAATGGATATCCAAACATCCAATCCGAAAATTTTGGATATCCGAAATTTCCGAAATTTTCGGATCGGATTTGGATATCAGTTTCTGATATCCGAATTTTCGGATATCCGATCTGTGAACAGGCCTAGTTTTCTAGAGTCGCTTTAGAGTTTTAGTTTATTCTGCATTACATTCAACCCCATTTTAGGCGTCCAGGACTTTCATACTTTGTAGGCACACAGTCTCTTAGATGGAGCTTAGCTTTATACATTAAATTTCTGTAAAACATATGAATTTTATTAAAAATCTCACTGTTGCTTTATTGGTTTAAACTTCAAACTATCTTATCATGGTGACAAAGATTTATGGACACTTGAAGAGATAGCTATAGCAAGTTGTATCCCAATCATAAAACCAAGAATGTTTTCATTAAAGACACTGATCCACAATTCTGTTTGGAGCCCCTTGAAGACTTATCGAATTAATCAATCAATGAAATTGCTGAACATTTATTGTTCTAGCTACTTCTTTAGACAACCCACAATCTGAATAATAAAAGTGTACTGACCATTTAAAAGCAATATCAAAATAACCCTTAAGGCCCCATTTGGTTTGATGTAAAATGTTTTCATGGAAAATAATTTTCCCATTTTACTTTGTTTGGTTTGTGAAGGGGTAGAAATCAATTTTCCTAATGGTGGAAAATTGCATCCTTAATGATGGAAAACATTTTCCCTTACAAAACAAGGGAAGTCACATTTTCCTCCCTCCTCCTTACCTCCTTTTTATTTTCCACTCATCCATCCTCACATTCCCACTCCTATTTTGATTTTTCTTGAACTTTTCTTGTATGAAACCAAACAAAGAAAAACTAATTTGCAATTGTGCTTCCATGAAAACTGATTTTTCATTGAAAATGTTTTACATCAAACCAAACGGGGCCTAAATGTAGGTTTAGTTTCCATCTATGAATATAACAGTTGCATGAGTTTACATTGGATTTAGTTTTCTGGGTTGTAAAATTTGATGGTTATGAATTTTGTATTGGCTTGTGAAATAGACAGGATGCGTTTACGTTGGATGTGTTAGAGGTTCCTCAGGGATCTGGATCAGGCTTTATTTGGGATACAGAAGGTCACATAGTCACCAATTATCATGTGATTCGTGGTGCTTCTGATCTCAGGTTTGTTGTTCAATACTATTGTGCAATGTTTCCCATTGCGTCACAGCCCTGCTTACCTTTTTTGGATTCTTTTGTCTTCTATCATTTGAAAGTACTATCTAATTTTCTAAAGTTGATGCTGCTATGAGTGCTACCTCTTCATCCCAGTAGCAGTCCTGAATTTTCTATTTCTTTTTTCCAATATCAAATTTCGGATCCTGCATAATTATTGTGAGAGAAAGGGAGTATGATCTTTGGATGTACAATGTATATGTAGGTGTTACCCTTTTATATATCGAACTGGAGAATATTTAAATCTTTAATATAATTATAGCAACGTTGAGTGAATGAGGGTTAAAGAAACCCTGATCCCTTAGCCCACAGTCATTCCCCCCAAAGCAAAGTGGGTCACATGTCACATTCTCATTGGCTACTTTGTGTGACAACATCCCTTCGGCCGGTTCCTTCACCCCCTACTTAAGCTCTGTGCTTGCTTGAATTCATGAGTAATGAAGGGCTAGCTTGTTGTGCATTACTTTGATCATCATTTTCAGGTGATGTATAAATTTTTTAGAACTAAAATGTTGTTAGTGATTTACAGGGTCACTCTTGCTGACCAATCTACTTACGAGGCCAAAGTTGTTGGGTATGACCAAGACAAAGATGTTGCTGTTTTGCGCATTGATGTACCTAAAGATAAATTGAGACCAGTACCAATTGGTGTCTCTGCAGACTTGCTTGTTGGTCAGAAAGTCTTTGCTATTGGGAACCCAGTAAGTTTTTTATTTTTTTTTTTATTTTTTTTTTCTTTTGATATAGGGGAACTCAGTAAGCTATATGACCTATTATGCAGCAAAAAGCCAAAAATTACTGGTCTTGCCTGTTTGGTTGTTGACACTTTTTTCATGATGTTGTTGAGAGGGGTTTTGATGACATGTACTCATCTCTGTTTTCGCTAGTAGTTTAGTTTCAAACTTCTTGTCATATATTTGAATTAGTGATAGGCTTTTAAGTATTCTACAATCTTGTATGTTTTACCAAATATTTGTTGACTAAAATTTCAGTCTAATATCCATTCCTGTAGAATGCATGAAATGAGTATATGCTGCAATTATAAATAATGCTAATGAAAAAATTAAATACAGAGCATACAATAAAGTAAATAAATATAAAAAGTAAAAACTTGTTTTACATTTCAACTTTGCATATTATCCGTTTTTTGTATGTAAAAGTACTATTTCTGGTTTAGTGCATTTAATGATGATCACTTGTCAATAGTTTCATTAGATTAAAGTTGTCCCCTTTATCTAATCACGGTGTGGCTCTAAGGGCTGCAAATTATATAGATAACTGTTCCAAATAATCCAGACATGGCCTCTTATTTACCCTAAAGATCTGTTAAATAGCCCTTTATAAGTCCCTAAGATTCCTAAAATACTCTGCAGATAGGTCTCGCAAAAGTTAATGTCAGCTTACATAATCTATTAGTATTTTATGAGTATATATTTATTGTGAATTACATTTGTTAACTAATATCTGTATATTTAATGAATATATGCAGTTTGGACTTGACCATACGCTGACAACAGGTGTTATAAGGTAAATAAAATTTTCATTTAATAGCTTGAAGGTTTGGGCCTGGCTTTGGGGAAGGTAGATAAGTAAGAAATGATTCCTATCATTGGAAATTTTTCCTTAACTACTGAGAGTTTGTTTTTGTGGAGTAATTCCCAGCTATAGTGTAAATTATACTCCGTACTACTATTAAAGTTGAGATGTTACTCATCAGATACTTCTATTAGTGATCAAGCATCAAATTTTATCAATGTTTATTACGTGAATGCTGTTTTGTATAGGATTATTGTCTTCATGTGAAAAGTAAAGCTCTAGGATGGGCCAACACCTAGTAACATGTGTTTTGAAATACGTACTCTTTTTAAAGCCTATTCATATGAAGACTATTGTTGTTATATTGTAAGAAATAATTCTTTGGGCACTTCTAATGTTTTTAACCCTTATTTTCTTACACAATAACCATAAAAGGTGCCAATACTATCTTCAACTTGGCTTTAGCATGCATATTAACAAAACAACAAAAGAAATAAACGTAGCTATCTTGAGGGTAGGGGTAGGCCAAAAGTGGTTAAATGTGAATGAAATTCTGAAAGTAGACAAAGAGAGAACAAGTAGTAAGACTAAGAAATTAATACAACGATTGCAAATCTGATGTGAAACAACCTGGATTAAAAAAAAAAAAAAAAAAAAAAAAAAAACAAAACTCATATTCTTATTTCTTAAGCTTAACTACTCCCCAAAGACCTCTTAGGTTTCCAAAGGATTGTGGTGCAATTGTTGGACTCGAAATCTTCCATACAAGGGTTTTTTTTATTTCCCTTTTTTTTTTTTTTGTAATGAGTTACCCTTGTGGTTTTGAAAAATTGCCAAACAACCTTACATATTGCAATAATTCACCTTGTAATATTTGAGATTTGAATGAAAGTTTATAGTTTTAAAGGTATGGAGTGAACTTTGAAGACTATTAGGGTACCTCATACATTATGAAAACCATGGGTAGCTTAGATAAAGCATGGACCAAGTATAAAATGGTTTTTGTTATAAAAGGTAGTATAGTTAACTTAATTGAAAGCATATGGTCCAAAACTCTAGAATCATAATGATGAAGTGATACTGTAAAATTTATTAATTCTTGCTGCTATAAAAGTGTGCTTCCATTGTGTTTGAACTGTTATCTTGATTGCAACCTCAGCTACTACTTAATCTACCTGGCCAAGTAAAACTGCAATTCAATGAACCTGGAATTTTTATTTGTTTGTCTTAGCTTTAACCTGTAAATTGCAGTATTTTGATGCCCTTTAATGATAGCATTTTGGAAGCTAAAAAGGCTACTTGTGTGACCACTTTCAATGTGTTTAATGTAGTGGGCTCAGAAGGGAAATCAGCTCTGCTGCAACAGGGCGTCCAATTCAGGATGTTATACAGACTGACGCTGCTATAAATCCTGGTAACAGTGGAGGTCCACTTCTTGATAGTTCTGGCAATCTCATCGGGATAAATACTGCTATATACTCTCCTTCTGGTGCATCTTCTGGTGTTGGTTTTTCAATCCCTGTTGATACTGTAGGTTTTCAACTCTGCCTTTGTCAAGATCTGGAGGGTTTTTTGGGGGGCGGGGGGCGGGAGGCATTGCTTGAAATCTCATCACCTGTGTTAATATATTCTTTCAGTTTATCTTTTCTCCCTTTATTTATTATTTACCTTTTCTCTCTGTGGAGGTAGAAAAGGATGACATGTCTTTTGTCATTTAATTTTCAGGTTGGTGGCATCGTAGATCAGCTTGTGAAATATGGGAAAGTTACAAGACCGATCCTGGGGATTAAATTTGCCCCAGATCAATCAGTGGAGCAACTAGGAGTTAGTGGAGTGCTTGTGCTAGATGCTCCACCAGAAGGTCCTGCTGGCAAAGCGGTATATTTCTGATAAATGTTAACTTACACTGATAAATATCGTTGTGCTTCAAGCATTCCACTTGAGCTGCTGAAAGACGGTTGCATTTTATTGGTGGAATTTGACTTAGGTTGTTCTTATGTTACTACAGGGCCTTCTATCTACAAAACGTGATGCCTATGGACGACTTATACTAGGGGATATAATAACATCAGTGAATGGCAAGAAAGTTACTAATGGTAGCGATTTGTACAGAATTCTTGACACCTGCAAAGTAGGGGATAAGGTATGCTTCTACTATGGTCTCCCTTTATTGGATCCTCATCTATTATATTCTAGCAGGGACTTATTGTTTCATCTTGTAGGTGACTGTGGAGGTTTTACGAGGTGATCACCAAGAGAAAATACCTGTTATCCTCGAACCTAAACCCGATGAGTCATAGTTAATCTTAGGATTCCTTGTATAATGTATGCTATGTAAATTTGGGAAATGGCTATTTGGTGGTAATAACCATGTATAATGTATGTCATATAAATTGGGAACTGGCCATTGGTGGTAATTGACTCTGAATGATGCTCATTTGTATAGAATTATTGTATAAATTCCTACTACTGAAGTTAGTATAGGGTCTTGCAATACAGGGCGGCAATCAAGTTTGTGTTTGGGTCAATCTATTTTTTATTTTTTAATTTTTTAATTTTTAATTTTTTAAGGACAACCCCTAAGGACAACTAATTTTCATTAATAGGAAGGTTAGAGTTCAAAAAATAAACAATACAATTTATACAAGACGGAAATTCCGATAACCAAATAGTTCTACCCGGCACCCCAGACAAGCAATAAGCTAGCTCGTATGCCACTTCATTACCCCTACAGATGAAACTCTAATACATGCTCCCAAAAGAACTATAAACATAATTTATATCATCAACAACTAGATGAAACTACTGTTGGAGTAAAGAAATTAAAAGAACTTGATAAGTTTACTTCATGAGTAAGTTGTGGCGGCCTATTTGGTTTGCCCACGGGTGGATTATGGAGTAGATTTTTGTAGGATTTATGACTAATAACAATTAATAATAGAACAGCTTATCTGATTTGATGTCGTGGCGTGACATAGCATCACTGCCCTAAAGTCGAATTTGCTCCGTACTTGTACATACGGACTCATAGCAATCGACCTCTAGGGTTGCACGACTCTTAACTTTCCGGTGTAATACGAAGAACTGGATTGAGAACACAGTGATCAATGCCCAAAACAAGAAATTATTTTGTGTAACATTTTTGGAGTAAAGAAGAGAAGTATATCTTTTTTGTGTGTACTTATTAAGAGGAGGGGACTTCTATTTATGGTGGAGTAGTAACTCAAAGATGGAAGCCATTCACGGCAATCATGCATGCCCAAGTCAAGGAGTATCAATCAAATCCCTTTAATTGAGTAATCACAAGCAATCAAGCATCATGAACTTAGCCTCAAATATGCACGGTTAGGCTTAAAATGGGTAATAGAAAGAAATAATTATGGCCAAAAAGTCAACTAATTTAATTGATATTTGCAAATTTGGTTATTGATCTTTTGAAGCATAAATGAAACTAGATTTGGAATTTTACTATGGGAAGAAATAATTCCAACATTCCCCCACATGATTCAAAAGAGCAAAATAAGAATTTGGGCAAAGGATACTCGGTTTTGCAAGTATCAATGTCTTGTGGACTTGATTTGATACCTAGTACTTACAATTGTGTTCTACAGTCGTGTTGGGTGGACTTGGCCTTGAACCTTTCATGAGGTTAGTATAAACACAGTTGCGTAGTAAACCTTTCTCAAATCAAAGGTGTTCTCGCGAAATTAAAAATGCCCCACATTTGCCTGGATTTTTCATGAATGCTCTAGAGGTCCTAGCCTTTGGAACTCATAGAGGACAGGTAAGTTCATCAAGTTTGTACTATCACAAACCACCTTCATTAAGGCTATGAACTTATTAAGAGTTCTTTTAACTCAACCTTTTCCACATAACAGTAAAAAGTACCACATCTTTTCATTAATAGGAATGGTCGTGGTACTATAATTGAGTTCTTTTGTGACTTCGTTTGACCCATTGAACACACACATTTCTAAGATGGGTATCAATCACAATTCACTCCTCTATAGGCTTTAAATCCATTCTCTGTGCTGGCTCAATCCAGCACCAAAGGCCTTTGTTGAGGGAATCTCTAATATTCCTCTCATATCACGTGATCACATTTTATTTAATAATTAGTATTCATGCCTCAAAAATGTATACATTTTTATTCCATTGTAAGCTACCTCAATTGTAACTTATAACTCACCAACAAAAATGTAACAAATAGAGTTGGCTCCCCCCCACAATTGATATCAACTAATAGATTTTGCAATAAGATTGCATAACGCTTTGAACCAAAACTTCATTCTTGACTTATCATTGTTGGTTATCTCATAAACATTTTAAACCTGCAAGTTTAATTCTTATTACATATACCATACAATGATCATTAGTGAGCACTTTTACAATACAATCTCCACCTGCACTATAGCAATATTTTCGTCACATAAGATACATTAAGTTAGAAGCTAATGATTCACAATCATAGTCAAACTAACAGATTACGAGAATAATCATGTAATGACTTGATCTCACACCATAACTTTGGTGTTCAATTCAATTTGTATTATAAAGTTGTTTACCTTGTATTATTCCTTACAAGGATGCACACATGGAGAAAGTTCCTTCACTTTAGTTTCATCAATTCATGACTAAGTTGTCATATTAGTTCGCAATTTAACCATTATTTGAACCATTATCAAAACCACAAAGGATAATAATGCAAACAAGACAAATGACCGCACAAACTTAGTAAATCACCAAAGCTAGAGTGAATCTGTCATATCAAGTTTCTTTCTCTTTTAATTTCAATTGACTCATGAAAGTCAACATTACAGCCAATAGCTTTATTATTAAGGTTAGTCAAAACCAACTTTCACAAAAATAATAGGTCACAATAAGGACTTAGATTCATATTAACTTGTTTTCTCCAAAAACTAGCACAAACAAAATGACATGGTCCCTCCACATGATTTAGGATACTTATATATCCATTCACTTCTTGAAGACGCCCCATGACTTCTTCTAATCCTTCAACCTTTCTGATTAAGAAAGCCAATTAGACTTAACTAGTTTGGATCCTGACTTTACTTCTTTCTAGCTGGTCTACTCACCAATTTCACAAAAGAAAAGTCAAAGAGAAAAATAAAGCAAATTAGATTATATGGATCAGAATACAAATTATCATACCAATGCAATTTTGAGTGACGATCTCAATGTGACTCACATGGCTCATAATTTCGAAGAATAACGCTACTCAAGTCATTCTCAAATTAACATATATTATGTCAAACACAATGCATTTAATAGCAATGACATAATTCTAAAATCAAGTTAGCACACTCAACCTTTATCACATATTAGGTCCTTTAAATAGTATATTCAGCAAATACAACAATCATAACACCGCAAAGTCTCAAAAGATAATTGCGAAGCACACCAAGGAACATCTCACCTTAAGTAGGTACCCCCACACAACAAGCAATTGAGGTTATCACATAAACAATCTATTAATCAGGGAATACTTAGACAAACTATCTTGAGATGAACGAGCCAACATAATAAGCTGAAAATATTGATACCCCCCACATAGGATTAACTAACCAAAGTTAAACCACATGCTATTTAATAAACCTTTTAAAAAAAGAGGGTTATTCCCTCTTTTTATAAAGTTCTCATAATTTCAACTTTTTAACCATCCTAATTTGTAAAAATTTTGGTCAAAACAACACTTTTACTTCTGTTATATAAACAAGGAGATTAATTGGTCTCACCTAGACCATGAAGGAAAGATATGCCTCATGCAAACATCAACATGTAGAACAAATCACATTTATAAATCTAGTCAATCTCCAAGTTTATTAAATAAATTAAGTTATCATGAATCAACTCATATAATTCATATACCTACCTAATTATTTAAGTCACATACTCATAAGATTCACAAACAATTAACCTAATTAAAGAACACAAACATCATATCCATTATTCACTGAATTAGGGATATAAGATTAACTCTTAAAGCTCATTAAGAGTCACATAACCAAAGCCTAATCATCCATGAAACTCAACAATAATGGATATAACACAATAAGCAAAAGTATACAATTCACAAGTTGACAAATCAACCAACATCAAGCCACGATTAAGTGAACTCACATGAGAGTCTCCCTCCTCAACACACCCACTAAGGTGAGTCCAACTAACCTACTCATTAGTCTCAGTCTTAATCAAACTCCTCATTAAATTATGCAAGAAATCATCACGAAATACATGTTACACATGAATAAGCGCAAAATAACATATTACACAAAGTAAGAAATTTAATGACAATAAATTAAGGAGTTGTGATTACTAAACTCTCACAAAATACTATAATGACATAGCAACATTCACAACATTAATTTAAATAAAGTATTTGACCTTACTAAAAATCGTCGTCCGATTATAATTACTATATTATCTAATAACATCGTTGCACTTCAATGCTAGACTTAAGTGTAATTACAACACACCCACAATTATAATGCACTAAGCGATGTCTGCAAATGATAAAACTCATCACAACCAGAACAAATGATATAACTTGGTTTGGTTCTCCTAAACAGTCAATATAAAATGGTAACATTGGTATTACACAATAAACTCTTAGCTCCTTGCTGAGGGTCAATGTAGTAAGATTGGTATTACAAAAGATTAGTGTGAGCAACTAAAACCTGGAGTCAAAACAAACTTATGGGTAAAAGCGCATAACCAACAAGACTTTATTCAATCTGGAAGAGTTCATAAATAAATCTTACAATATGGAGCATTTGATCGATTCACAGAACAAAGTAAGTTAAAATAAAAGGATATACATGCTTCAAAGTAAAGCTTAAAACGATACAAAACCAAGTATAATAGACGGAGTAAATATTATGCATTGCATCAAACAAAACTCACCATTAGCCATTAAAGTAAACGGAAATTCGACTTTACATTGTAGGATTTATGACTAATGGCAATTAATAATAGAACAAACTTATCTTATTTGATGTCGTGACGTGACATAGCATCACTGCCCTAAATTAAAGTCGAATTTGCCCCGTACTTGTAAACATGGACTCATAGCAATCGACCTCCAGGGTTACACGACTCTAACTCTCCGGTGTACAATGAAGAGCTAGATTGAGAACACAATGATCAATGCCCAAAACAAGAAACTATTTTGTGTAACATTTTTGTAGTAAAGAAGAGAAGTATATCTTTTTTGTGTGTACTTATTAAGTGGAGTGGACTTCAATTTATAGTGGAGTGTTAACCTAAACAAGGAAGCCATTCACGGCAACCATGCCTGCCCAAGTCAAGGAGTATCAATTAAATCCCTATTGAGTAATCACAAGCAATCAAGTATTATGAACTTAGCCTCAAATATGCACGGTTAGGATTATAATGGATAATAGAAAGAAATAATTATGGCCAAAAGGTCAACTAATTTAATTGATATTTGCAAATTTGGTTATTGATCTTTTGAAGCAAAAATGAAACTAGACTTGGAATTTTACTATG